CTTCTTCCTTAAGGAAACATTGCGGTGAACAACACTACGCACTCACTTTGGCGCGCTCATCACAACTTACTCGCACGTGCGCATGGAGACTCAGGCGGTTATCTTCAGTCGCGAGGACTTAGATTCGCCGTGGGAAGAGTTCTTCAGTTAGCGGTCTTTTACGACTGGTTACAGTCGAAAATCGCTTTGAGGAAAGCTGAGTCTCTGGTTGGAAAAAGACTGTTTTATTCTACAAATTTCATTGGCTTTTATAGCCTTCGGTTTACAACAATTTACATTGAATTTTCCTATCTTCTAATGGGTTAGAAAGAGAACGAAAGAGACGCCTGGGACATAATGCTGACAAATATTGATATTTGGGTTTTTGCCCTTGCGCGCCCATCGATGCCTTTGTTTTGATTTATTTTGCTTATGCTGTTTATTGGGGCTGTCCCGGTATGCAATTTGAGTCAGCAAAACATGTGTTGGGTTATTATATTGCTACGTTCATAACGCACATGCCTGGCTGTTCCTTAGTTGCGTGTTAAATGGTATGTTTCCGAAATTGCATCGATGGCTGTGCTGGCCATCTGACTGTGATTGAAATGGAAATGTTCTTGCTGGTACTGGATAATTAATTGCATGGGAAGATGCATAGCACAAGAGACTCCACAGTTCTACGAGCTTTACCTTGCAATGCGATGTTCAATCTCCTGAGATTCTGTCTGTCCGTCAGCTTGCACTCACTGGTGGACGTCTTGAACTCGTTTTCAAAAATTGGCCAGTCCATAATGTTTCCAGAAAACGGCGGTAAATCTCTTACATGTCGACTTTGAAGAGCCTTGAATGCTTGACTGAGAACTTCGTTCATACCGTTACCTGCTACTAAAGGCTGAATATTTTTAGTACGGTGCTCGGAATCTTGCACTGGATACTCGTTTGCATTTACCCAGTCCTGTACACGTTGCACAGAATTACAACTTGAGGCTCCCGAACGGGAACGCAGCTCATTGATTTGAATTGCTCGTTCGCGTTTTTTTTTTTGATGAATTCTGCCTTTTTCTGTTCTCTATTGAGCTCCAACTCTTTCTGGATGTTGAGAGCCTCCAAACGCTGTTCAGCCAGAATTTTATCCTGCTTTAAAGAGGCTTCAAGCTCGTCGACAAGTTCCAATGCTCTAATTTGACTTTGCGCTTTGCTAGCTGCTGACATCCTGCTCTATGCGATCGTTTGCTAGCGCCACTAACCGAAACGCAACTTCTTAATGATTGTGGGGCCGAATTAACATTACCGGCTTCGTTTTGCTCGTTCCTCACAGAATCAGTGACACGACGAGACTCCTCAGATTACACATTTTGTCTGACCGGAGTACGTTGCATTGTGTCTTTTCGTTCTAGGTTTGGAATTTGGTAATAGTAGTTTTCGAGGTTTTTTGGGACTGTACCTGCGTTACAACGTTTAGGCCAATGTAGGCGTTCTAACATAAAAACTGGAAGTTGGTTTTCGAAGGACCAATGTTTCAGGCGGCTGGTTCGGACTCACGTCGACAGTTCGCTCACCTGAGGACGGGACAGAAGGACCAATGTTTCAGGCGGCTGGTTCGGACTCACGCCGACAGTTCGCTCACCTGAGGACGGGACAGAAGGACCAATGTTTCAGGCGGCTGGTTCGGACTCACGCCGACAGTTCGCTCACCTGAACGGAATCTTCTTCACACGCTTGGTCTTGAACTCATGGACACAGTTTCTTATAAAACTGTGCAGAGGAATCAAACACACAGTCAAATTAACGGGGTAACAAATTTTTTATTGATCTTCAATTAACAATGGTTGTTAGGGGAATGAAAATTTTCTCCGATCTCGCTTCATGGCTTACTGATCTCCAACATGTACAGTTATTACTTTCTCAAGCAAATAACAACCGATTATTTTCAACTACAATCTACTAGGCACGACTATCGAACGGGTGTATTGTGTGAAATACTTAGGCGTTTTTTCTAAACTCAAAGCTGACATACTCACACCATATATAGTATGTCGTCGACAAAGCGTCCAGAACGCATGGCTTTGTCTTCAAGATTACTAAGAACTTCACGGACATTTACTGCTTGAAATCGCTCTACTGCTCTCTCGTACGATCTACGTTGGAATACTGCTCTGCAGTCTGGAGCCCGAACTACAATAATGGGGCCGAGCGAATTGAATCTGTTCAACGACGTTTTCTTCGCGTCGTGCTCCGTAAGCTACCTTGGAGATACCCACTTCGTCTTCCAAGCTACGAGAATCGCTGCCAATTGATCAATGTCGAGCCCTTGCGTATCCGAAGAGATGTTTTCAGAGCCTTAACCGTCGCCTATACTCTGCAAGGAAGAATCGACTGCGACGCAATTCTACAACAAGTGGAAATTAATGTTCAACCTCGATCACTACGCAACAGTCTTATCATAGACAAACAGACGTAACTCTTTGAAAAAGTTTTTCTTGAAAACATAGTATCTCAAAACATAGGACCTCAGTAACGACATCTCTCGGGCTTCTCGCGGAAAACAAGCTTGCTCGCTAACTCGCTGTGGTGAGTAGTTCGCGGAACTGATAATATTCAAATCAACCGTTAAATGCGTGGACGAAGATACACAATGAAGTGTTACGTCTGTTTGTCTGTGGTCTTATGCTGAGACTTCCACTTCTTCGAACTAATTATAGCTTAAGGAGCGCTATTTACGGCTTGCAGCGAGTGTTCAACCGAGTAGCGTCGATGTTCGATTTCCACTTGACACGGAATATGCTTCGCCGAAGATTCTCTGCCTTTTTTGCTGACCGAAGACGCTTGATGCCCAACAGCTAAGTGTAAAATTTAAGACTTATAATTTTTTAGTAACTTGACAATGCTTTCCTAGTTATTTTGGTTTGTAACAGTAGTAACTGTAGTATATGTAGTCTGTATAATCTGTACTTTTTTTTACAATACATCATTGGGACTATTGCTAGTTACAAATAAACAGATAATTGTCGTTAAATTTATTGAATTACAGCGTTCGCTATTTGATTGATTTTGGTTTGAACAAAGATAAAGATCAAACTCATTTAGTGATTTAGTTTATCTGTCATAATTTTGCAACATTAATATGTAATAATATGTTATATGAAATGCATTTTAAATAGCGAATTTTCACTCCGGTTACTATAAATAAACATTATTCAGTGCGTACCTGAAAATTGGTTGTACATGTTTGGAACCTAATTTTGAATGGGATAGGAACTAAGAACTGAGAAAACTGAATTCAATGGAGGATAATGAATGTTCCCTAATTTCAAAACTTTGAATGGAAACGAGTTCCGAACTTAACTAGTACATATTTAGTACTATTCCATGCCACACTATACATTACTTACGTTTTCAACACTGTCAGTTTTCACATACTTTCACTCGCGTTTACTAAACTTATGCACACGTTGTGACGAGGTGAAAATAACCGACGGGGACTTGCGTCGTGCAAGGATTTGGCTAGGGGACTTCCTAGACCAATTCAACCAAACTGCGGTTGCTGGTGACCAGTGGTAGCACCAGGGCGCATTGGTTTGGACAAGCTGGGTATGTGGTATCTAGTAATAGAGCACATTCGTTCCTTGTCGATGCTTGTCGAAAAAGCCTTTATTTCATTCAACTTACAGGGTTTATATAGCCGAAACGAGAGTTTACAAAGTTCTTACATTGCATTTTCCTTAAACTAGTGAGTTAAAACGAGAAAGATCGAGACGCCTGGGAAGGTGTTGACAAACATTGAACATTTTAGTTATTTTACATTCTACGCATCCATCGATAATGTTTTGCTATTTGACACTTTTCGTTTCCTTACTGCGTCCGCATACACGAGACCTCTGCTATGTACCGACGTAGGAAAAATGTTAGAGTCAGCAAGACAAGTGTTTGGGTCGTTCGCATTCATGCAATCGTACCACACATGCTTTCCTGACCTACCTCTCTCCGTTGCATTTCGGTTTGCTTATGGTTCAAAATGAAATGAGTATTGACGTTAATATTTGTAACATGAATTGTGAATAGTGTTCTGCTAATTTATTGCATTGGGAAGATGCATAGCACAGTACTGTTAACCCCATTTAATGATAGAAAATAAAAATTTTCAATTTCATTGATTCCTATTGGATAACGGTTATTTGAATGTATACCAACTTTATCAACAATTCAAAAATCCATTAAAAATACTGATCCTTGTAAAATAATCTAAGTGTGTGAATAGAAAATCATCCACATCTCTTTATTTTCTCACCTTTTAACTATTAACACTGTTACTTTGACTATCCCCTGTATTCAATAACTTTCCTTACTATCCGGCATTTTAAAGCAGGATTTGACTGCTGTGGTAAGGGACCATTCAATAATTACGTATGCACTTTTTAAGGATTTAGACTTATTCATATTTAAAAAAAAAACCTCTCCCCTCTTTGTAAGATTTTTCATCGAATGAGCATGTCGTGACCATGTTACAGTCGCTATAAATCGATGGAGACGCATAGTAGTCTAGTCGCATAGGAGTATTGAGCAAAAACCCAAAACTTGATAACTTAAAAAAATATATAACTAAAAAAAAAACACATCACTGATTTAGTGATAAAATGTGTAAAAAAGCCCAAATTTTCAAGGGAAAACATAAAAACATATTTCGGCCTCTATCTAAAAACCATGAAAACCATAAAAAAAACAAATACAATGTACACTCAATGTTTTTCAATAAAAATCATTTTTTTTTAAATTCATTTTATTTTTCCTAAGAATTATTTTTAACTACCTTTCATTTGATCTTTGAAATCGGTTCAAAAGTTATGAATCGAAAAAAAATATTTTTTGAAAATGGTCACCCTAATGACAAAATAAAAAAAAATATGGGTCTAATGTTTTGCGATAAGGAACACAACTACCAATTTTTACGAAATTCTGAGAACCCCTAAATCGTTTTGCTATGGAATGGCTGTATATATTTTTATTATATTTTTGGTTTTCAGAAAAACATATGAAGAAAACAAATCACCGTTTTCGGATCAACCCTATGGACATAAGAATGAAAACTTCAAACACAAAAAATATGCTGCTCCGAGTACAATGCGACATTTTATCAAGCATAGTACAATAAGCTTTCATGGCATGATTGCTGAAATTGAGGTATGTGCTATTCAGGGTTGCTTCCACTCACTTGCTATAAAAAAATAATTTTCGGAATTATGCAATCATTAGATGATATAATGATATGTTGTACTTGTAAGTGACAAGAAGAGGGTGTAAAGTATGTGTTTGACTCATAAAACCTGTCAATTCCACTTTCAGAGCGTCACAATCAGCGATCTTATGATTCGTGAGCGTTCACTCAGAGTGAGCGCTCACGAGTCGTAAAATCGCTGATTGTGACGCACTGAAAGCAATATTGACAGATGTTATGTGTCAAATATACAATTCATGACCTCTTCTTGTAACTTACAAGTACTAATTAGCATTATACTATTTCATGATTTCATAATTCAGAAAAACATTTTTTTATAGCAAGTGAGTGGAAGTAACCCTGGTGCTATTATTATTATTTTTTCAATTTGTTGTTAATTCAATAACATTCTAGCATCGCGAAATTGATTCGTATCTCCTAATATACACTTATTTGCTAAATCTGTCATTATATTGGAATGAACCAATGCCACAGGAGCTTTGCACTTTATACATTCAAGTTTATGGCATCTTCGCAACGTATAACAATTATCAATCTTGGAACCAACTAACGAATGATGAAATAACAGGTTTGTTTCGAATGGCCATACTTTATTTAGAATTATTCCACGATAACACAGAAGGAAAATTGCTGCGTTTTGGTGAAAGGTAAGGGACCTATCGATTTAAATATAGTATTGAAAATTTATAATTTATGATATTTCAGCGAAGACAACCGTTTGTTTAAAAATATTGCCAATGATCTTCAATTATATGTGTCCTATTTAACAGAGGAAAATTTCATAATGTATCAATCAAGATATCTGTGGCTTAATTATGCAGTATCGATGCATGAAAATGATATTGACGCAGCACTGAGAAAACTTACGCAGGTACTTTTTATACATTTACTACTTTTATTTTACATACACTAGGGTCGGTTTTTACGCGGGGAATACGTGCCGCATTCATTGGAGTCGATTTCTACGTGGAGGATATTTTGTATTGGGTAAAAACTGACCAATGATTATATTGTTAGCTTCTGTAATTTTTAGCATACTGGTTGTTTACATATTGTTTTTCTGTTTTTATAGATTTCTCGAAAACGGAACAACTTAGGGTCAGGTGGGTAAGAGTGCCACCGTTGTTCCTAGCATGATAGCTTACAGAGTAAATGTTCCAGAATTTCTTTTGGTGGCATTGGAAAAAAAATGTTTGAATTCTTTTGCTATAGTTTTTGGAGTAATGTAGTTCTAGTATAAAGCTTTTCCGAGACATATCCTGTTACGAAGCTACTTGAAGATAGAGAAGCGTTTCGGTTCGACACCGGACACAAACAACGAACAAAAAAAAAATCATGAGATGATTGGTCCAGAGATAAATTAAAAATTAATTTCTGCACTTTGATATTCTTCTTCTTTCCTTTATTTAACGTCGCTCTCTGTTCCGCAATCAAGTGCCAATCACCGACGGACATCGATTGCCATCCATTGACGGCAATCGAATGTGCAGGAAGGCAGCTCTTCCACACCTGTGTGCAGTAGTTACTATAGTTCCAATGCAAATCAGAAACGTGTTCAGTCAACACACAAACTTGGCTTCAAGCCACCTTTCGAGGTCGAACATTGTTATACACGCAGAGAAATGATTTTCAAATTCAAATGGATTCAGAGACGAATGCCCTTGAAGGGTAAAGTCTCTTTAAACAAAAAAAAAATTCAAAGGATATATTTTTGGTATTGATTCAAATATATTATTCGGTTAATTCAAAGAAAAATATTTTTGAACCAACAGACCGGTTGTATAGTCAATATTTGTTTGTTGATTCTAAAAACCATTTTGTTGGTTCAAAAATATGTTTTGTTGAAATAGTGATATGTAATATGTTTGAATCAATAACAAAATACATCACGCCCTGAAACAAAAATCATTTTTTCTGCGTGTGCCAGATTTTATCTCATTTATAACTTTATCGAACGGGTCAACCAGATTATTCGACAGATTCGTATTTATGATCGAATCCTTTTCAGATTGAATAAATTGTTCTTTATAACTCTTTTTAGGGTCAAGGAGATCCAACAAGACTTTTGGTCTATAGGAGAATATTTTTTCCGAGGGTAAACATTTATCTTTTGTGAGGCAACTGTTCCGGTAATTTATCAAAAAAGCATTTAATTGCATTTCAGTGTCCAAACGACGCCTTACCCGAGGTTAGAGAGGTACATTGTCGAAGGATAGGATCAGGGGAGGAGCTTGGTGGTAAGATTTCGTTGTCTCATCAGAGCATTGTCGCCAGTATGAACGGTAGTGCAGTTTTAGTTTCGTCTGGAGTTCGATCGGCTATGGTGACCAGTGGTGACTCATCGAGACGGGGGGACAAGACAAACAAAAACTATTAAAGAGAGACAAAAGACAAAGGAATTAAATTATTATACTAGACATTTGAAGAAACACATAAACCGACTGCATATAGCAGATATCGCGAGCTCCCCCCTCCCCGTCTCTGATAGGAACATAGGGTTGTCTTCCTTGGGTCTCGAGGGTATTCAGAAAACGCTCTCTGGCGGCGGCATCATCCGTACATTGCGTGATCGATGTCATCGTAACCGTTTCCACACCGACAGATGTTGCTGTCCACGAGGTTTATTCTATTGAGATGAGCATCTAGCAAGTGGTTGGACATAAGTCTACTCATCACGCGAATGAAGTCACGACTTAAGTCCAAGCCTTAAACCAAGCTCTCGAAGAAACATTAGGAATAATTGAATGTAACCACCGTCCAAGATTTCCATTGTCCCAATCGGTTTGCCAACTCGAAAGGGTACTCTGACGCACTAAGTGGTAAAAATCATCGAGTGAAATTTGCCTTTTGTAAAATTCGCTTTCCTGCGCGCCCACTTTTGCGAGAGAGTCCCCCTTCTCATTGCCTGGGATTGAGCAATGTGAGAGGACCCATAGAAAGGTAATCATATATATCACATTCATCTGTTCCCTTACCTTGAAAGGAAATAAGATGAGTGCCTACCTTGTTTCATCGACCGAATAGCCTCGATCGAACTGAGACTATCCGAGAAGATGAAGTAATGGTCTGCGGGAATGTTGGAAATCATCCCCAATGCGAAGTTGATTGCTGCCAGCTCAGCAACAAAAACGGAAAAAGGTTTCTGGAGTTTGTGCTAGGCGCTAGAGTTTTCATTGAAGACACCGAAGCCAGTGAATCCACTGAGACGAGACCCGTCTGTAAAATATCCATTCACGCAATTGACGTGTTGGTACTTTTCAGTAAAAATACGTCGGATAATAAAAGTTCGAAGTTGATCGGGAATCCCATGAGTTGCTTGTTTCATGGTCAGATCATATTCAATTGAGGAACTGCGATTGGTGAAGGGAGCACGGTCTGGAGTGTAACAAGGAAGACACATATCTGACGATATGTAGTGGTGGTAGATTCTCATAAATCGAAATTGTGTGTTCAGCCCAAGAATTTCTTCAAAATTTGCAATTATAAGTGTGTTCGTTACTCCGCATTTGATTAGTATTCTGTGAGAGAGAGAGCTCCCATAAACGGTTCTGGAGATTGTTACTCCTGCTAGAACCTTGAGACTCATGTTATGCGTTGAGTGCCTACAGCCGAGAACAATACGCAGACAACGATATTGAATTCGTTCCAATTTTATTAGGGGACATTTTCTTGCCGAGAGAAAGCAGAAAGAGCCGTACTCTAGAACAAAGAGAATAGTTGTTTTATAAAGCGTTATGAGGTCTCCCGGGTGAGCACCCCACCATGTGCCGCAAATTGAACGGAGATAATTGATCCTCTGCTGACATTTTTGCTTCACATACGTAATATGGGTATTCCAAGTGGACTTTGAATCAAACCAGACCCTAAGGTACTTGAAAGACAATGATTGAGTAATGTTTCTGCCCAAAAGATTAAGCTGGATTTGGGCTGGGTACCGCTTTGGAGTAAACACTACCAGTTCACTGCCGAGATAATTCGATCCCTAGATTCCTAGCCCAAGAAGACAAGTTATCTAAAAAACTTTGCAATGGTCCTTGCAAGTCCACGGCATGTGGACCTCTTACGGAAACCACACCGTCATCTTCCTCTTCTTCTTCTTCGCATTTCAAGCTTATTGCATATCGCATATTAGCTTATTGCGTGCTCTCAACTTAGTGTTCTAGATGCACTTCCACAGTTATTAATTGAGAGCTTTCGATGCCTGTACCACTTCTATGTGTAAATCATACTTCTATGCCCAGGGAAGTCGAGAAATTATGCAACCCGAAAAATTCCTAGACCGGACCGGGAATTGAACCCAGCCACCTCTAGCATGGTCTTGCATTGTAGCTACGCCTTTACCGATTGAGCTAAGGGAGGCCACACCGTCATCTGCAAGTTGTCTTAGCGTGCATTGTTCTGCCAAACAGTTGTCGATATCTTTGACATAAAAGTTATAAAGAAGAGGGCTGAGACATGAACCTTGGGACAGGCCCATGTTGCTAATTCTGGAAGTTGTCAGTTGTCCAAGGGAAAAGTTCATTTACTTTTCTGACTACAAATTGTACAAGAAATTATTTAAAATTCCAGAAAGTTCACATTAGACTGGCCCACACAAATAAAAGTTCTAATTTTCCACGAACCAACCCCTAGATTTGTGCCATTAGGTGAGAAAATCACTCTCTGAAAATTTTAGCTCATTCGGATATAACACTTTTAGTATGAATTTTGTATGGGGAATTTGGATAAAATACCTGAAAAAATGACACTCCTATACTCATAAAAAAAGTTTTCTTACCATCGATTTGATTAGTAGTATTGCATCATGAGTCCAGTTAGTTTTATTGAGATATTCGCTTTTGAATGTATATAAGCATTTTGTATATGAAAAATTTAACCAAATTTCCCATATGAACTTTAAACCAAAAGCACCAGCCCGTGTAACGTCAAAAAGAACTGAAACATACAGAGAGTGGTTATCGCACCAAAAGGATGTTGATCTATGGAAAATATGAACTTTTATTTTTAGTTGTAATCTAGTTGACACGTTGCATAAGCTGCCTGTATTTTGTTGTTATATACGAGCAGAATGCACATAATTAATTAATATCTCCATAATACTAACTTGAATCGTAATGGTGTCTTCGGCAAAGTTGTTCCTTATAGGTTAAACTACGTGTGCGTTATGAACTTAATCGAGTTTGCTGAATCAGTTCTATGCACGAAAAAATGACTATGTCAGAATAAAAGAGAAAAAACTGGTTGCTTTGATGGCGCACAGAATGTGTATTTCAGCGCGGCGCAGGACACTATAGACGAGTGCACGGGTGAACTTTTGTTCATCTACTGAAACAAAATTGACACAACAGCGGGGCCCTGTTTACTAAAAATGAACACTTGAATAATGCTCGCGTAACATTTGAAAAGGTCCATCAACATTTATAAACAATTTGCTAGAACGCCTACGCAAACCAAGAGCACTATCGGGAAGGGGAGAATTTTACCTACCCGATGATGTTGTTAGTTTGCGTGGGCGTATTCGGTTCGCGCAAAAAGGGGTTAACCAGTTTTGTGTACTAAAGTTTATAGGTCCGTTTCAAATTTTACGCGAGTATTATTCATGCGTTCATTTTTAGTAAACAGGGCCCCGCTATTGTGTCACTTTTTGTCAAGAGAGTGAACTCAAATCCATCCGTGCACTCGTCTATAGACAAGAGAGTTTTATGGATTCGTGAAAGCACAAAGCGCAAACGTGAATGAACCTGCTACGTTTGGGCAGACAGCAGAGATTAGGAGAAAATAGAGAGAGTACCTACACTACAGTCCATTCAAAGGAGTGAATGAGTTCAGTTCGCTCTATAAAAAGGTTTCAATAAAACTAAGAATTGTTCA